CACTACCTGGTGGGGAAGGCAGGCAGCCCCACTAGAGGTGCATGCTCACCATCGGGCTCCTGTGCTCAGGGCATCTACTGGACATCGCCCTGTGCCCAGCACTGCGGGAGGCCCCAGGGGAACCGGATCAGTAGGATGTGGCTCCGGCCACAGGGAGCTCACTGTCTGCTAGGGAGGCAGACAAAACAAACCGTTCCCAGCCCCAGGGTAGAAGTGTTCTAACCGGCTTGGCTCCACAGAATACAGAGCAGGGAGGAGAGCACTACAAGCCTTTGAATAAAACAGGAAGCTAGGGCTCCGTGCTGGGGCAAGTAGGAAAAGGGCACGTTTGATGGGGAAAAGGAGGCACGGGGTACCCCTCCACAGGGCTGCTCAGGGCTGCCTCGGGAGCTGGGCCTGAAGAATGAGAAGTGTGATTAGAGGCCCAGGAAGCACTTGTGCATCCCCCGAGGGCGTGCAAAGGTAGGCAGGCTCAGGGCCAGAAGTGGGGAGCGCCAGGCAGGAGGGTGGGGGGCCAGTAGGTACATCAAGGACCTTGATGGCATCATTCAGAAATCCAGATTTGACCCTGTGGGCAGTGGGAACCCCTGAAGGGTGAAGAGTGGAACAGAGTGATCTGATTTGCATTTTAGAAAGATCACAGTGGCAGTCACAAGGACGGTGGATCTGGCAGAGGCAAAAACATGAATCACCATCTAGGAGGGTGTTACAGCTGTCCTGGGAGAAATAATGGTGCCCTGAGCCACAGCAGTGGCTGGTGAGATAGAGGGCGGTGGACAATTTGGGATTCATTTAGAAGGTAGAACTGATGACTTGGTGCTGGTGAGGGAGAGGATGGCGGCACTGAGCTTTCTAGTTTGGGTGGATGAGTGGATGGTGGTGGTGCCTTTGAACGGAATTAGGTAGCACAGAAAGAGCACATCTGATGCAAGGCCTAGACAATGAGCTTGGTTTTCTATTTTGAGGTGCCCTAAGGATATCTAAGTAGAGAAGAAATATGGGTCTGTGGATGAAGAAAGAGGCAGGTACTACATAGAGATGGTGATTGTTAGTCATAGAGATGATGGTCGAATCACAGGAAGTCTGTAGAAAGGGGATGGGTTGGAGCTAGTGCACCAAAGACGACTAGAGGGGGAGGAGGCCAGAAGAGTGGTGGAAGGAGCACCTGATGGGAGCAAAATGCTTGAGACTGCAGGGGGCATTGCAATAGCAATGACGTGGGAGTTAAATACAGAAACAGACTAGGAACCATACATCAGCCAAGCAATCGTGTCACTGGTGACCCGAATGAGAGAAGTTTCAGGTGAGTCTTGGGGCTGCTACTAGGTTGTGGTGGATTAAGAAGTCCAGGGAGAGGGGAATGGGGACTTCCTTTAAGAAACACGGTGGTAAAGGGGAAGAGGAATAGAGTGTTCAGGAAAGGCAGGACCCAAACAAGCGGGTTTAGGAGAGAAGCAGTGTGGACAGTCATGTCGGCTGAAATGAATCCCTGGAGAAGCAGGCCTGGTTGGCACAGGACTTGAGGATGGAGACGCAAGCTCTGGGAAGAGGTGGCGCAGGGGGGAAGTGGGCATAGGTGGGAGGATCCGTCTTGGACAGGGGGATGGAGAGAAGGGGAAGAGGAGAGAGAGCAGGTGAGAGAGTTCAGGCCTGATGAGGAGGGGAGGGGACTCTGACAGCTCCTGGGGAAGGGAGCTCCAGGACAAGGGAGTGTTCCCTTGGCCCTGACAGCAGGAAGGTGCATGGAGCCCCAGGCTATCGGGGAATGCTCTCTGATAGGCTGGGCACAGGTGCACGGAGCATCTGACCTGACTCAAGGTTGTGACAGGGCAGGGTGGCACAGGCAAAGGCCTGGGGGCAGAGGGCAGAGGCCGCCTGTGAGCAGCTCCTCAGGGATTGGGGGGAGCAGGCAGGGAGGTCAGGGCTCGGCATCCTGCAGGGGGTTACTCACCGCTGACTCAGACCCAGGTGCTCATTTGCATATTATTCATGTAAATACCAGGAGCATCTCATCGCCTTTCCAAGAAACTCCCAGATCTTCCAGTGCTCCTGCTGTTGAGCTGAGTCTCTCTGACCTGGACATATTTCCCCTTTAGAGGGCTCAACTCAGCTATGCCCACATGGCTGGCTGTTAAACTGAGCTGAGAAAACAACACTCAGGAAGCTCATCTCCTCTCTAAGAATATTGAAGGGAGTTTTAATTTTAGTTTAAATGCTCAGAGCACAGCCCTTACTGATGCCAAATATTATATTTTTTGTTATCTCTGTCTCCTCCCACTAGAATGTAACCCCCACAAGGACAGGGGCATTGTTTTCTATACCTGTGCCTAGAACAGTGCCTGACACAATAAACACATTAAATGAATGAAGGCCCTGTTCCCAGCACTTTATCTAAACCTTACAACGTAGGCATTTAACAGTTTAGAAAAGGAAGATTCTGAGAGGTTAGACCATTTCCCAGGTTAACCAGATTGCAGGTGAGGAAAGGTCCTAGTTTCAAGCTTGGCTTCCCACATGTCATGCAATAATTCAGAATCATTGATTTCGTAGTTTACAAGACCACTCCTGTGAAACTGATTCAGTCTAACCCAACTGAGAACATCCCTGACAAGAAAAACCAAAGGTACTGACTTATATTCAAGTATAAATAGCTGCCAAGGAGCTGACATGCTCCGACCAGCTGCAAAGCTAGTCTGTCCCAGCAGGACAGGTCCACTGAGGAAGTCAGACAAACATCGCCAGCATGGCTAGAAGCAAGAGCAGTGTACTACTCTCAGGGGGACCATGGACTGCTCTGTGAACGAGGTGCCCGGAAGACCCATGCAGCTGGCAATCAGGACCCCTGCCTCCCAAAGGACCAACGACACAGGGCTCTCCAGCTCGCCAAGAGAGCCAGCCACCAGCCATCAGCCTCGCGTGTCCTCCCAGCTTTTCCTTGGAAAAATACTCGAGCATCTGAATGAGCCTCTTCCATTCCGACTCCATAGGGAATTTCCATTGACTTGCTTAGGTGACGGTTGCTTGCCGACAGGGGAAACCCGACGTGTAGCAGTTTGACCTGAAGCCTAGGGAAGACCCCCTCTCTGTTTGGGTCCCTGTTGGCTTCAGCCACTGTGTGAGGGTGTGTGTGTGACCTGGCTATGGCCTAAATTTGGGGGTCTGTCTTATAGTTCTGTTCCCTGCAGCTAGAGGGCATGGGCTTCAAAATACAGGAAAGAAGGATGATGGATCAGTCACTGAAACCACTTTCAGGAGGAAACACCCAGGGGAAGGCTTGGTCCTCCTTGTGATGTGAACAGTCGAAGAATCAGTGAAGAATCCAGGTCTCTGAGAGGTTCTTTGGCAAACAGACTCCCTTAGCTATGAGCACAGAGCAAGGCATGACTTTGCTTTCTTTCTACAAGCACACTTCGTTTCATTGTGCTTTGTCTTATTGTGTTACACAGATGTGGCTTTTACAAATTGAAGGGAAGGCCCTCCACCATGACTTGATAAAACTGTGACTTGATTTATTGCCGTGGTCTGGAATTGAACCGACAGTAACTCCCAGGTATACCTGTACTCAGTAGCTGATTTTTAAGCGGAACAGAAAAAAAAATCCAATTCCCAATGCCTGGGCCAGAGCAGAGTAACCACCAGCAAAACAGCTGTTAACATGGCTGATGCTCGTTTCTGTTAACTGCTTTTACTCAAGTTAAGGGCCTGGCAAGGGAGACATTCTGGCTGCCTTAGCAAGGAGAGAAATTTCAGAGGTAGCCACCACAGATGGTAGCAGATGTCATGCAGCACAGAGCAGCAGCCACCAGGGACTTTGCCATCTCAGAGCGAAGCAGAAAAGCTGATAAATACTCAGCCAAGCCAACTGCCAGTTACACACCCCAGAGGCTCAGGAAGCCAGGGAGGGTGTAAAAGTTATTCTAATTAATAGCTTTCTGTTCTCTACATCCACAAACCCGTCAGCCCCTGTCTTTTCAAAGACCTTGGGTGCTGGCTTCAGGCAACCATCCTTACCACAGTGTGCCAGCAGGGCAAAAGCATAAACGCACAATTTGCAACTAATAGTACTGACTGCTCCAGTCCTAGGGTTAAAAGTGACTTCTTCTAGGACTCCAAGAGTCATCTACCTCACAGGAGCTGAGAGCTACGAAGTGACCAGAAGCCGGTCGCTCAATCCCTCCTATTAGAGCTTGGGGTAGCGGTTCCCAGCGCAGGCTCATCACACCCGCTTGGGGCTGAGCAGACAGCTCCGCCAATACCTGCTGCGTGACGCTGCCAGTTATTTCAGCTCAGCGTCCTCATCTGTTAAGCAGGGATAACAGTGCCCATCTCACTGAGAGTTGGAACAATTACAATTGACATCGCACGCAAAGCATTTGGCAAAGAGCACGGCATACAGTGAACGCTCAGACTGTTAGCTGTCATCCCGCATCCATGAAAGCCCATGGTGTTTTATCGCCGTGGTCCTCTGTGTCCTATAAATGTCTGCATCTCATAGTCAGACCTGTTAGGAAGTAACTCCCTCCCCGCTAGGGCTTGAGGAATGGGCTGCATATCACACACCAACAACTTTTTATAAAATAGACTTGAAATGAGTTCAAACATTAAGGGAGGTTGGGGAGGGAGAAATAAATAGGCAGAACACAGGATTTTTAGGTGTGAAACTATTCTGTCTAATACTGTAATGGTGGATACATGTCATTGTTATGTTTAACCAAAGTCACAGAAGGTACAAGAGAGGACTGTAATGTAAACTATGGACTCTGGGAGGCAATGAAGTGTTAATGAGGCTCATTAATTATAACAAGTGTACCCTCTGGCGGGGGATGTTGAAAACAGGGGAGGCTGTGCATGTGGGAGATGGGGTATATGGGAAACTCTCTGTACCTTCTAATTAAGTTTGCCTGAAATAGTCAATTAAAAGAAATAAGAAATAAAGTCTATTAAAAAATTGATGATATACACACAAACAAGTCTGCTACTGATATCGGCTCTGACAAATGTGAAAATTTAAGAAATCTAGCTCTTTATTTAACTTCAAAGCTAACATCAAGTGTCTACTTAAAAAAATAATGGCACCTGCTTTGAATGGGATGAAGATCTACAGGGAATTTACAATTTTAGACTGACATGAAACAGTGTAGTATCCTACAAAATGGAAATTATGCAGTCAATCTCACAAGAAACATTTCCAGTTTTTACTTTCAGAGCCACTGACTACCACCTAAACACATCGCAAACACGGAGCATGTTTTGTTGAAACGTTTCTCTTAGGACAAGCACAGTGAGACATGCTTTAAATACATAAATTAAAATTGCAACACATAAATCATTCCTAAAACAATTCAGGTACACTGCTTTCCAGCTTTTTATAAACAGAGGAATTGTACTGACTTTAGAAAGTTATAGGTTAATTCTTCTTTATATCTTATGGGTTACCAAACTCTTATTAACTATATCTTTATTTTTTTTTAGCTTCTTAACTACTTCTGATGTAATGTAAACAGGCCTATCTCATTGTTTTCAATGACTTATTTTTTTAGACCACCTGTTTCCTTACATGCGTTAAACTTCTTGAAATACCTCTCTCCAGGTAAAGCCCTGAATTTTAAATAATGCCACTCTGTCCTACCACCAGTTCCTCAGAATTATAGAAATATGAAAAATAGGTTATTTAATAACACATGTCCCCAGTAATAAGTATAATTAAATGTTTTTCCAAACCACTACAACTATATTTGGATTCAATACCAAAAAAAATGTTCCCATTTAATGCAAAAAAATTTGGTATTTAAAATTCAAACAAAAAGGACAAAGTCATTAGTTGCCCGAGGGAAGCTAGTGCCCACCCCATTACTGGCCCCATAATTAAACCTGACCCGCTAGAGGACTGGTCTGGCTCAGGAGCACACACCGTGGGGCAAAATTTCAGTGAAAACAATTCCAAAGCAGGAGAGGGGCTACAATCACACGGACACACGGACACCGAGTGGCAGGAGGGACCACAGCACGACGGGCTGGGATGAAGAGGAGGCGCTTCAGATTTCCGTCTACAGCGAGCATGTGAGTAAAACCACTAACGGTACACGCTAGAAACCGTCACTGCCCCAAACCAGCAACGGAGTACTTTTATTCACTGCGGGTTTGAATTTATTTATTTACTTTTTGTGGGGAGGGTGCTTTGTCCTGGCTTAATCATACTTGAAATACAAGCTGTAATAGCCGATGCAAAACCCACAAGGGAGTAGTTCTAGGTTTGTGTTTTGTCCCCAGCTATCGTTATCCTGGTGATCATGAAAATAATGTCACAAAGCCCCCAGTGCTAGCGCCCAATGTCGGCATCTAAAATCAATCAGTTCGCTGAATGAGGGGCTCGCCCATGTCACTGCTGGCGCTCACACTTAGCAGGTACACACGAGACGTTTGCCACCAGCGCAAGGTGGGAAAAGGGACCAGCTCACTTAAGTGTAAATTAAGTATCCAATCCCAGGATACGCTATAGCTTGATCACTACTTTTCATTGTATACTTATAAAATTTCATTTAATTTCCTTATGCAGTGCAGAAAACAAGCAGTGGGAGGGTTTATTCTTAAGAAAATAATAAACTAGAGACTGAGTCATCTTATTAGAAAGCTTCATGAATTTTCACCAAGACTCTAAAATAAATACGCCATGTACACTGAGCATATCTAAGTGAAAACAAGCTTATCCGATGTCTGAGAATCTCTGAAAATATGAATTCTGTAAAAAGAATTTATGATGCGGTGTGATCATTTCAATGACACACTATCTCAGACGAGGGCCGGTTTCCAGCAGCTCGTTAACTGCTCCAGAGTGGAGGGGTGGGAGGGCGCTGCCTCCCACTTCTTCACTTTTCTCACTGGGAGGGACGCGCAGGTGCAAAGTCTGGGGAGTGTCACGGCAAACTTGCTGGGCCAAGCCACAGAGTGGAGTGTGGTGGCAGGAGGCTGGTGTCTTCCTAGGCCCTCCAAGAGCCCTTATCTCAAGGGTGGAGCTCACACCCATTCTGCTAAACTAACAGCAGCATCTACACCCACCCCAGCCCCTGGCACGTCCAAAGTGCCTCAGAAAGATTCACAGACTTCAAGAGGAGCCCACCCAGGACCCAGCTTGATGCAAGGGTATTAAGTTACCCCAGCCCTCAGCCCCATGGAGACTGATGCCCACAGACACAGGGGAATGCTGGCCTTTAAAACATATAAGCAAAAGCAAGCACACCATTCCTCTCCCTCCCTTCCCTGGATCTGGAACTGGTTTCTGTCCCCTGGATTTGATGGATCACAGTGTATTAACAGCCAACGTGGGAGACCCAGGGAGACTCTGACGGTGAAAGGAGATGGCCATGAGATGGGGGTGGGCCCAGAAGCTCCCTTCCCTGAATCCAAGATACTTTCTAGCCAACAATGTCATGAAATCATGTTTATTGTTTTAAAAAGTTCGAGTTTGGAATTAGATAATGGTGATAGTTGTATGAGTTTGTGAACTGATTAAAACCACTGAATTGTAAACTTAAAACAAAAGGCTGAGTTGTAGGAGCTCACACACACACGGCTTGTGCCAAACGCTCGACTACTGCATCCTCTCAAACCATGGCACTGTCACATTTTCTTCAAGGATTTCCCTAAAAGCAGCTGTTTGCAAAATATTGCACTTAATTTAAATCCAGGCAGTTTGAAGTTTTCTGGAAGAAAATGTACACTAACATGCACCTTTAGTCTTCAGATAACAGAGTGGTGGTGGGAGGAGGGGGGACCCAGCAGGTTCCACAAAATTCTACGCCTTCCTTTTATGGACACAGAGGAACAGATTTAAGGATAGTATCGCTGGGCTGAAGGTAGTGACTGGCATCCCCCAAAGAGGCCGATTTTTGAATGCTGCTGTCTCAGGGGACACGTGGCCACTCTGTTATCCTAGGACTTATTTTCAGTGAGATGCCGGGAGACAGATGACACCCTTGGCTCAGACACTGCACCTAATTTATCTCATTCTTGCTGGTCTTCCAGCATCCTAAGAGGACCCACTTGGCCTGCATTCAGGTGACCTGCCCCCATTGGCCTAGCTGCCACCCAGTTAGACCACATGTCCTATTTTCCTCCTTCTTCCAGTATTCCTACCTGAGTGTGCTTGAGCTTTATAAACCATGATCAGTTTTCCTCCTTAAAGAAAAGCCCTGCAACAGGAGCATCGTGTTTTCATTTACTGAGTAAGCTTCGGACCCCTCACAGACTCGCGAATAAAGTGAATCACATCCTCACAGGGGGTTTATCACAATTAAGGTTTGTTGAATCACAAGCCTCCTGAGTAGTGCTGACAGGCCCCCAAATTAATGTTAAAGCCACAGTCTGAGGGATTTGCAAGCATTTCTACAAGCTTTGGAGGCTGGGCATTAGACAGTCAGTTAGGATGAAATCAGGTGTACGGCTCCATGGGCATAAGGCACAAGCCCCATTCACACATCCTCTTGTCTTAGCATTTAAAGTGTAATAGAACCACCAAGTCAGACTTTGGATGGATAAACAGGTGTGTCGTAAGATTTCCATGTTATGGCGAGCCACACAATTGAGCACTGTGGACACGGGCACAAATGGGACCTACGGCTGACTGTGGCCCATCGGGATGGGTTACAGGGGATTTCCTGGGCTTCCACAGGCCGTGAGTGTTCAACACGGCCAACGCCTGACTTCTTCCCTTCCCTGAGTCGTGCCACATCCTTGCTGCTTACGGGACTCAGGGAAAACGTGACCACTAACAACGGTGAGCCCAATTATGATAGAGACTTGAGAGAGAGAGACACCGAAATTCCCTTTTCTTCTGAGCCAGTAACTATGCCAAGTGCTCAATAACCAGAGGTCTACCGTGCTGGGCGAGTCAGGGGGCAGGAAATCTGGTCTGATTAAGGCAATAACATGGGGAGAGCTCAGAAACAGATTCACATTAATCAGGTACAGGGACCAAGCTGGCAACTGCTGCAAGTTAGGAGAGCTGTAGTTATTTACAATGCACAGTCCCAGGCCTGGCAATCTTCAGTTGGCACAATGTCCATGTTAAAATTTGGTAGGGCGCACAGAGTTCTCTTTAGAATAAAAACTTGAAGGAACTTTAAGACGGGAACCAGTAATTCATCTGGGTATTATTATCCTTTCTATGGCACACAGAATATGGTCCCAGTTTTTACAAACTATTGCAAGAAGAGTCACAGCAAAGAAGGTGCCAATGATGTGGAAGCGGCTCTTCATCATGGGCGAGATGAACTTGGCGATGGTGGACACGCACACCAGGATGACAGTCATGAAGGCCAGGACCACGTTGATGCACTTCCCCAGCAGGACGCGGGCGTTCACCGTGTCTGTCTGCTGGGCCTGCTGCTCCTGCTGGTGGAGCTCCAGCTTAGAAATGCGCGTCTGGCACGATTCCAAGGCTTCCTGTGGGCGAAAGGGGGAGCGAGGATCAGCGGCTGTGAGACTGCGGGCAACGCGGGAGCGCCTGCGTGCAAGGGCAGAGAGCCCCTAGGTCAGGACGCCTGAGGCCAAGGCGGCCCCACAGCCAAACTGACGATGCCGGTGATGACGGCAAGGAAAGAAAACAAGACTCTCAAGGCTCATTTTACCCTGTTATTTATGTGCAGAATGAGCCTGTGTATACAACCATAAAATACTATAAATAAGAAATTACGGTTAAGTATTCTGACTCCACCTACATATGAATTAAAGTGCATAAAATGTTGGCATCTGTTGGTACCCCAAGGGACAAACCAGAGGAGGGGTGGGGTTCCATTTGGGGACAGTTGACTATCTCCAGCCATGGAGTAGGTGGCAGCTCCAATTGCTACTCCTTATTTCGCTGCTCAGAGTCTGTGTGCATCCATTGCAGGCTGGTGGAAGATGGAGGGAGGAGGGCGGGGACAGGACTGGCTGTGGGACAACTGTTTCACCTGCCTTTGGAATGCTGCGTTACTCAAGACACTATCCGGGGTCATGCATCCTCGCTAGATCTGGTTCTTTCCAAGACTTCAATGACTAAGACACAGATGAGTCCAGGTATACCTCTAGCCCAGCTGTCTCTTCTGAGATCGACTCATATATCTACATGCCTCCTTGGCATCTTCATTTGAGCTTCTTAAAAGCATCTCAAATGCCACATGTCCAAATGTGGATGCAAGTATTGCACCTTCTCCCGCACCTGCCATCAACCCTGTTTCCCTTCTAGTGTTCCTCTTCTCAGAAAACAGCACCTGATCCGCCCAGTTCCTCATACTGGAAGCCTGAGAGGCACTCATCACCACCATCACCCAGCCCCACCGATACAACACCCAGTATCTATCTCAACTGGTCTGTTTCTCTCCCCTCCCAGTCACCACCAGGATCTCTTGCCTGCAACAGCTACACATGTTTTTCCATACACCCCCTTCATTCTCAACCCTGTGAATCCACTTTCCACACAGCAGCCCAAATGATCTTTGAAAGATGCCTATCTGATGTCACTCCTTTTGGTAACACTTTTTAAATCTTTAACATTGCTCAGGCCCTGCCACTCTCTCCTCCCTCACTGTGTTCTCGCCATAAAGGTCTTTTCAAGTTCTGAAAAGGTGAATGCTCAGGGCTTTACACATGCAGTGTACTGAGACTGAAATATTTGCCTCCAGGCCCCTCCCCTCTTCACCTGTGAATCTCCCATTCGTCCTTCAGGACTCAAGTCAACTGTCACGTCCATCAGAATAGCCAAGCCTCCCTTTAGCCCTCTCCCCAACTAAGAGGCCATCACTGCCGCACGGGGGTGAGGGCTAGGCCCGCTGAGCTGGTTTCCCAGCAGAAAGCCAGTGCCAGGCATGCAGCAGTGCTCGTACTGGCCGGATACTCAGGAGACTGGGCTGTGGGATATGAGGCTTGAAAGAGAAACACCGTTAGTCTCTTCAGAGAAAAGGAGCCCCTTTTAGTTCACTAGCCTATTGTCTAATTCATTCACCAATATGTGTTTGCTCAATTATGAGACAGTCATCTTTTTAGGTTTTAAGCAGCATAATGGCTCTAACATGATCTGCTTTTCTTCAGCTGAATATACCCTACGGCCAAAGAACAGAATTTGTTGTTACTATAGTAACTTTCGTTACACAGGCTACCAACAAAAAAGGTAAAACTTCTTCAGATCTTCACATTCTAAAAAATACTGGCTCTCCGTGACGAAAGGCAAGTGCCCTAGAAAGCATGTATTTTCCCCCCCAAATACTTTGGCCCAAGGTTTCCTTCATTTTGAACATGGCATGGAAAGGTGATAGAACAAGACAAACGACTAGCATTTTAGGCAAATTCATTCATCTTTCATTGGGCAGATGAGAAGTGCCTTAGAACTATCATTTTTATTTTTTTTTTACCAAAAGAAAAATTCAAAACAATTGAGCCATGTATAGTAAGGAGCTATAGTCATAGCACCCACGAGGAGACACTCAGTCCCACAATCTTTACTACTTCCCTGGGTCCAGTATTTAACTTATTGGGGATAGAGACAAAGGACAGGGTTATCTTTTAAACTCTTTTCACTGGGAATTCAGGGTTTAAAAAAACCCCAATACTCATCTGCTTAAAATAACAACAAACCCTTGCATGGCACAGGCAACAGGCACCTTCATCTACACTGGCCATCCCCTGCCTCTGAGAACAAAAGAAACAAGAAATAGGACAAAGCTGAGCAGGCGCAAATGCTAGAAGCCCTGAGAAACACGGCTACTCACCAGCATGATACAGAGTGATCAGCATTACTTTCTGACTGCTTATATGTCAGGCAAAGATTTAAGTACTTTACGTTATTATCCCATTTAATCCTCTCAACAACCTTAGGAGGTAGAGCTCATTAGCATTTCCATCTTATAGATGAGGAAACTGAGGCCCAGAGAGCTGACCTGTCAGGGTCACACAGTAAGTAGCAGAGCCAGGATTCTAACTATCGTAACAACAAAGGGTCCTCCAGTCACTCACAGAGACGTTCTCATTGCACTTCTGAACTAGAGATGAAACCAAAAAATGTTGAAATGACTGAATTTTTGAGCTCCCTACATGACGTCCCTCCCTTTATCTGACTCCTTCATCCCTAAAGTATGTTTCTTTAAAAAGGAAGAACAAGATTAACCCAGACTATCCCCTAAATAAGAAAACCAAATATTCAGACATAATCCGCGGCATCCCAGACATGTTCTAAAACAGAATGATCTACTAAAAATGACTGCTTTCTTCACCTGGCAACACTTAACATTTAAATAGGTTCACATTTTTGAAGCCAGTCAGTGGTGAAGCTGTCTCCTAACTCGGAGCAGGGGCAGACATCCTCAAGTGTCTTTTGCCCNAGACATCCTCAAGTGTCATGGTCCTTGGGCAAGCATTTCCTACCAGCTTTGTCTGAGGCTTTGGCTCCCAGAACTGTCCAAGTACACATGTGGCGTTAGCACAGGCTCAGCCCTCGACACAGAGTAGAACAAACCTTGGTGCTCAAACTCCAGCTCACACACTGTGGGAGAAATCTCTGTTTCAGTTTTCTCCCCTTTGTGAAGTGGATCTGGAGAAAATAATCACTGGCCACCAAGAAAATTTGCAAAAATGAAGCTGAGTGTTTCTCCAAGAGTATAATTATTTGTTTTTTGAAAAAAGGCAATCAGAGGATACGTAAACTGGCACAGCCACTGTGGAAAACAGCATGGCAGTTCTCAAAAAATTCAAAATAAAACTATCATAAGATCCAGCAATCCCACTTCTGGGTGTATACCCAAAGGAAAGGAAATCAGCATCTAGAAGAGATATCTGCACCCCCATGTCCACTGCAGCATTATTTACATTAGTCAAGACATGGAAACAACCTAAGTGTCTATTGATGACTGAATAAATGAAGATGTGGTATTATATCTACAATGGAATACTATAAAGCCATGAGACAGAAGGAAATACTTCCATTTGCCAAGGTCCACATGGGTGGACCTTGAGGGCATTATGCTAAGTGAAATAAGTCAGATGGATAAAGACAAATACTATATGATCTCACTCATATGTTGAATCTAAAAAACTGAACTCATAGAAACAGGGGACAGATTGGTGGTTGCCAGAGGTGCAGGGCAAAATGGGTGAAGGTGGTCAAGAGATATAAACTTACAATTATAAAAGCAAAGGTTTTTTTCGTTTTTTTTTAAAAATGTATCTTTATTGATTTTAGAGAGAGGAAAGGAAGAGGAGAGAAAGAGAAACATCAATGATAAGAGAGTCACTGATCAGCTGCCTAGCCCGCAACCCGGGCATGTGCCCCGACCGGGAATCGAACCCCGATATCCTGGATCCTAGGTCGACGCTCAACGGCTGAGCCACGCCCGGCCGGGCAGCAAAGTTTTTTTATGTTTTAAAATTTTTAAAGATTTTGGTTGTGGTGGGGAGAGTAGGATATAGGTGACGAGCTTGGGGGTAGATAATAAACATTTGTTAACTGATTTAGGCAGAAAGTAAACAGAATACAGCTCCTTTACTCAGTAACGTCTATACAGCGATTTTCAACCAGTGTGCTGTAAGAATTTTTAAAACATGCAACACCTGACTATTTAGTCCAGGGCACTGACCTCTGACCTCTTTCCCTTAGACTGCCAAATAAAAAAAGGACAACAGCCAACACAACAACAGCCATCTGGCGTGAATCAATCAAAGTTATACCTACTTGCTCAGCCGGGCGTGGCTCAGAAGCTGAGCATCGACCTAGGATCCAGAAGATCTTGGTTCAAGTCCCAGTCAGGGCACATGCCCGGGTTGCGGGCTCGATCCCCAATCGGGGCATGCAGGAGGCAACTGATCAGTGACTTTCTCATCATTGATGTTTCATCTCTCTCTCTCCCCTCCTCTCTCTGAAATCAATAAAGATATATTTTAAAAAAACACCCCAAAACCTACTTTTTTTGGTCAGATCGGCAAAAAACATAGTATATATGTTGGTGTGCCGCAGCATTTTAGTAATCAGTTTATGTGTGCCATGAGATGAAAAAAGTGGAAAACTGCTGGTCTATAACATGAGCTGATGGGGTCAATAAAGCAGAGAAGACATGTTTGCTTAGGGGTATGTGCTTAGCCTGAGTGCCTAAGGACGAGAGGAAAGGCACCTGGATGTCGCGCGAGCGCTCGTAGGCCTGGTAGGCCACCTTCTCCTCGATGCTGGCCAGCTCCTGCTTCAGGTCGGCCGTCTCGTGCTGGTGTAGGTCCGTCAGGTCATGGAGCTGGTCTTCCAGTCGCTCGTACCTTTGTAAAGAGAGGAGCCAATTCTGAGCACATTTCCAAGGGGTTCTAACAGCACGTTCTGGAATGGCGTCCTTTATATCTCACGGACGCCTGTGCCCCTTGGCTTGTTTTCATCTCCTGGCAGACTGTTTCTAAAAGAAAAGTCTAGCTTCCCACACCGACTTCCAGCTCCAGGAAAGACCGGTCCCTGCCGTCCTAACTCTATCCTCACCGCTGAGGTTTCGTGCAAGCAATTCTGGCTTTTCCACCCAGGTCAGACCAGCACGTTGGCTGGCTTCGATGACGACAGGATTGACCTCAACAATGACACGCTCACTATGGCTGGTCAGGAAGCAGGGCTGTCTGGGATCCTGCTCAAGGCAAGGACCGCTGGCATTGGGGGCTCCTCCCTCCCCTGCCCCCGCAGTGCCCAGCGGTTCATGGGCAAGGCTGTCATGGGTCAGAGTGCTTATAAGGAAAGAGCCAACTATCACACTGGAACCAACCCCACTGTTTCCCAGTGTACACACTGATTCTGAATACATGTTTCTGCTCCTGGGACTTAAGTACCAATAACAAATTAAGCTCATTATAAATTACAGATGGCTTACCAGGTGGCCTTTCCAAAAGTCCAAATCTAAGGTAACAGAGGCATAAAGATTCCCATGCTCAGCTTTTATCCCTCTCAGAAAAGAGGGATTTGTTTTATATGTATTGACATAAACTTACAATGTTTATTTTGAAGCAGAAAGCACTATTTGGGGAAGATGCATTAGCCTGAAATGACTCTGATTAATGCCAGTTTTAAGATGCTTATACATTTTTTTTTAAATGAGACAAAAAATACATGCTTAATGCTTATTCTCAGGTAGGACTTCATAGTTGCCCAATGTTGGTGTTATAAACAAGCCCTTTAATGGTCTCTTAAAGTAAGCAATATAGTCATTGGCTAAATCATGGAGATCACAAATATAAATATATAACAAATGAGAACAAATATTTTCCTAAATTTATGTAAGTGGGTATTTGTGACTTGGGATAAATTTGGACCCAAAGAGTGCTGCATCCCAAGCTATTAGAATGGAATTGTTACTATTCTCTGGAAAACTTGTGACTCAAAAATAGTTCTAGTGTGACAAAGAAACGAAAGTCAAAGACATATGAGGAAAGTTTAAAAAGTTGTTTCATAAAGTATAGCTGAAAAAAGCCACATTCCTGAATATATATATAAACCGTGTATCAGATATAAAACATGTAAGATAAACTGAAAATTTAAATCTTACAATATGTGATAGGTATTTACTTTTTTACCTACATTTTGATAAGTTAACATATTCATTTTGACCAAAAAACCCTTCGGAGGAACATTTTCTTGGGAAAATGGTGAGAAATCACCTCGTATTTGGGCATATACACATTTTTTTTTTTAAATCCTCACCTGAGGATATGTTTTTATTGATTTTAGAGAGAGAGGAAGGGAGGGAGGAAGGAAGAAATAGAGAGATAGAGAGAGAACAAGAGAGAGAGAAACATTGATGTGAGAGAGAAACATGGATCGTTTGCCTCCCGTATGCGTGCTGACTGGGGATCAAGCCTGCAGCCTAGGTATGTGCCTTGACCAGGAATTGAACCCACAACCTATTGGTGTAGGGGATGATGTTCCAACCAACTGAACGCCCCGACCAGGGCTAGGCATATATATTTTTTATTAACAAGCTGTAAGCACACAGAAGCCAGCCTATAAAACACTTGACTTTTAAAACTAGCTAAGACAGGGTGGGGCAAAGTAGGTTTACAACTGTTCTCATAAAAATAATAATAAATAATACAAGAATAAACTCTGTGTTTTGCGTACTCACAACTATAAGCCTACTTTTCCCCTACTCTGTATAATCCACGGATTTGAAATGCATACTTTATTTTTTTTTAATTAAATTTACCGGGGTGACATTGGTTAATATGAACATATAGGTTTCAGGTGTGGGTTTCTATGTTACAAGATCTGTAAAATTTCTTTTGAACGCTCTTCATTTATGGGGGAAAAGTTTAATGAGCAAAATACAGTATGTAGAAAAACATGCTACATAAAGACTTTAAGACTGGTGTACCAAATAAAATCTAGTTTGTTGGACAATGAATGAGTTTTTCACTTGATAGTTATTACGGAGGAAAATCAAATACATATCTATGAACTAGTGTAATCAAACTTCCCTATAGAAGTCACTGAATCAGGAGTTTAACATGCACACGAGTCAAAGACTACGTAGTGCTATTTTAACAGACCCACACATATAATGTCTTTCTCTAAACTGTCAAGCTATGAAGTATGGAGACCTACTGATTCCTAAATGCCTTTTTAAAAAAAAATGTGTTCGTATTCATTTTAGAGAGAGATGAAGGGAGAGGGGGAGAGAGAGAGAGAAACATCAATGGTTGCCTCCCATACACACCCGACCAAGGATCAAACCCACAACCTGAGCATGTGCCCTGGGCAGGAACTGGACCAGCAGCCTTTTGGTGCACAGGACGATACTCAACCAACTGAGCCACACCAGCCAGGGCCCTAAAATGCCTTTTGACCCATATTCCTCTTTATGAAAAACACAGCCTTTAGCATATCACTGTCAAGCAATCTCCCTACACTTAGTAACTCATGCTTCCAAATAAATTCTGAGAACAGTCTGAAATAATACCTGTATCTCTCCTCTTGCAGGGTCTGAGAAATAAAACCATATTCTCTCTTAAACTGCATCTTCAGCGCCTCGATGTCCTCGGCCAGCTGTGCCTGGGTGTCCTTGATCTCCCTCAGTTCCTCTAGGATCATGGTGAGCTTTCCCTGGCTGTCCAGCGTGCCCGTTCCGCTGGCCCCGAACGACTGGTTCCCATTACTGTCGGCGGAGCCCGACGTGCCGCTCGAACACTCGTCGTCGCTGCCATACTTGGATTTGTTTACAGTGGTCGCACTGCCCCCATAGGCCCTGGCACTCGTCTCGGGCCTAAACTCCTCTAAGGAGTTTTTTAAGTGAGCGATGTTGTCTGCGCTGCCGAACTTATTCCGGATCAAGTTGGCAAACTCTTTGGATTTATTGAAGACAAATACAGGTGGGGTGAAGGAGACCCCTGGCATGCCCGATCTACTGCTCTCCAAGTTGTGGGGTGCAGTTCGAGACTTGGCGTGGGCATCTTTCATAGAGTGCTGGATGTCCTTCAGGTTGTCCTTGGAAATGTCCTTCGAGCTTCTGGAGGCTCCGTTCTGTTCGATCTCCCTGAGCTTTTTGTGATACTGTTCTAACTTCTTCTGCAGCTGGGCGATGGAGTGAGCCGACTTCTGATTCTTCTTCTCAAAGACTTGTTTGATGCGGCCAGCCTGCTGCTTGTCAGCGCTGTCGACTAGTTTCAGGTATTCGGCAACGTTCCCATCACGGGACGTCTGCTCAATTTTGATCTGCTCCGTTACCTTTAGAATTTTTTGTTTCAGGCTGTCCGCATTGGGCTTGACCTTGTGGAAGTCCAGGATGCCATCTGGAACATCAAAGTTGAGGTTGGTGTCTGACCCGCCTCGGCGTATGTTCAGGGGCAGGCTTAGGGTATTCATGTCATGGCGTTCTACCTGCAAAAGACAGAGCAGGAGCAGCAACTTTAAGGCGTGAAGTCTAAGAGACAGCTACTGTGATAGAATCTGTGCACACACAGCAGACATATTTAAGTCCCAGATTTTTAAAAAACTTCCTACTATCCTCTCATGTTGAATAAAGGAGAGTCCAACTCCTTCCCCTACCCATGTATACTAACTGTGAGATTCAGATCTCCCAGGGTATCCAATCTTCTGTGTGATCAGATGGTAACTTTTGGTTGCCAGGGGAGAAATGCATAGAATGAGGTTACTGGTCAGCCCTGGTTTCCCAAAGCGCCCAGGTAACCAGGATGCCTGCCATGCCCCATTCACAGTGAACTTCACCATTGTGGGAAGTGCATCCAAGTCAGAACTCAATCACTTAACAAAAGGAGAATGAAGAAAAGAAATCAAAGAAATATAAAAGAAAGTGAAGTTTCAGCAGGTACATTCATCTATACAAGAAATTATTTTTTAATGAAATCATTAAACAGATGTGATGAAATAATATGGTGCAAGATTCATTTTAATAACTAAGTAATACAGAAACAGTATTTAGACGTGAAAACAACCAAAAACCACAACCAAAGTGATTAAAAAAACAGTACTAATACTAAGACCATGTGAAATAGCTTTCACTCAAGGGCTACCTGGGAGAAAGAACTGCAAAGCTGAGCATCTTGGCAGCGGGGTGTGGGAGATGGAGGGTGGGTGCTAGTCTGTGCTCTAAAAGGGAAGGCAAATGCAGTCTGTGTGCCAGGCACTGCAAATGTTCACAGGGTTGTCCTGTTTGATTCTCACTTCCACGCCAGGCAAAGAATGTGTTAAATCCACATAACAAGTAGAAACTGAGACTTAAAGGAGTCAGGATTTGAATCAAATCACCCTAACTCAGGTACCCTTTCCACATCAGGACACTCTGACTAGTGTGCTCAGAAGACCAAAAACAGGTCTTTGTAGCGTCTGAATACATTCTCTAAACAAAGATTCGTAAGATCTAAACCGAAGCCATCTTATTTGTCAAGGTAACAACCCTTTGATTAGAATAATTGCCGTGGTATAGAGTCTCGAGTGGGAGACAAGACAATATTCAGCCCACATTACCTTTTTTTTAAGGGGATAATAAACTGACATAGCAAAAAAATTAGTAAGATAATAACTCAGCAGACTGCACGCTGCCTGAGTGGCCCTGACTCAACATGGATTGTTTCCAACAATGAATACCGTTAACAGTCTGCCACATGAAAAATTCTCCCCGGTGCTCCTTCCCAGGAAGGGGGTGCAGCAGCACAGTGGGACGCACCCAGGCTGGGGGATCAGGCCTACTTCATAACTTACAAAGGTCTGTTAACATTATTTCTTGGCCCCTTTCCCCCACACACCATCTTGCCATGCATAAGAGACACTGGCTGTTTTATCTGGCAGAGGAGCATCAGGCTGGAAGAAACGAAATGCCAAATCATTACCAGACTAAAACACAGGATGTATAAAAAAAGGAGACAAGAATGGTGACTTCAGCTGGTCAAGAGGGAAGGATGGGTGTAGGGACTAAAGGAGGTATATGATAATCATCAAGTCCCAGAGACATGAGCACAGGAAACTCAAGGAAGCTCTGTATCTATGGCTCACTAGTGGGCCCAAAAAGGAAGGGGCTCAAATTACAGTAATAAGGGATGCACGGAACCCAGCAAATGTTCATTTTAGGCAGACAGGGTAACTATACAATCACGAGGCTGGGGAACTGATGGCACTGAAGATATCTAATCCAATCATGCTTCTCTACTTCTCAGAAACTTTCTTTGGCTCCCTAATGCCTCCCAATTAAATAATACAACCTGGCCACTGTCAGACTGTAGCTTACCTTCAGGCCTCACCTTGCACCTGACAGATGCTGGTTATCTTAAGTGACCCATGCAACCCAAAGTTCCCAGAATGTACATGAATTTTCTATGGATTTCCTCCTGTGTCCAATATTTGCAATGCCTGTCACCTCTTTACCGCTGCTAACCAAAATCCTACATATGCTGTAAGATCCATTTCAAATGCCACTTTTCCCACAAAGTTTGTCCTCGTCCCACTGGAAGCTGCCTTTCCTTCTGTGATCCTCACTCTACTCCTTTATCACTCATGCATGGACTTTAACCCCAAAGAGTAGGCTCCCTCAGGGGAGAGATGGGTAATACCTGTGTCCAGCTTGCACCAGCAACTGTCCCGTAGTCACAGGAGGCTGTCAATAAATGTTTGCTGAACTAAGATGGCATCATTCATCATCACTCAGGAGAGTCTGCCTGAAGCAATTTAAGGTCCATTTTAATAGAATCAAAAAATAACCTTGGGAGTTCAGCCCGTATGGACCTGACAATTCCAGGTAGAGATGTTTTCCTAATACCTACGTAATAAATCTACATCATTTCACACTGATTCAACTAAATGTGCAACAACATACACAAACACAAAGAGGGCTTTTAAGTATAACTTATACTCAGAAAAGGGCACATTTAATAAGTATGAAATGTAATGAATTTCTACAAACTGAACACATTACATAATGAGGACCCAGTTAAAGAAACAGAACAGAAACTCCCTCGTGCCCCCTTTAATCACGATGATATCACCCCCACCTCCAGGGGTAACCATGAACCTGACTTCAACATTCTCGTCTTTTTTCACTCTATATTGTTTGTGAGATTCATAAGAGCCTGCTCTTGCCCTCCTTGTGCTCACTCAGATAAAGTTATTAAAAAACACACACACCAAAACAACCTGCTTCATATTCTCTATTGAGAAATCCACCACCACACCTGAAGATACAGAGGTTTTTAGACCTTACCGACCGCAGCAGCATTTAATTCTCAACCACACCGCAGCTGGCTACCCGACAACTCCAGCGTCTCAATGCGATGGCCTCGTTCTCTTACTGACGGCTGGGCCAGGACAGCCTCGCACATACAGGAATGTTTATGCCCAGAGGGCTGGCTGACGTTTGGCTCACTTTAAAGTTAGAACAATGCTTGGCATGTTCTCGAGAATCCAGGTCGGAGAAAGCTACGGCATTTAAAGCTCAAATCAATCCCTCTTACTGCTTGTGGGCAGATCTCAGTTAGAAATGTTTGGTAAGGGTGAAAAGCTGGGTGTATTGCTGGGCCACTCCTTGCAGCCTCGTAGAGCCCTACCTCTGCAGGAGAATTAGAGTCAGCTAACACATCATCGCTAGATGCCCACACACCCCCTGAACAGGGACTGAAATTTCATGTACATGCTGGGAAGAAAGCCACGAGAGACCCTGTTGTCCCTCTATAATCTGGACTTGGCACTGAGGGCAGCTGTTGCAGGGCTGGGGCGTGGGGAAGAGAACAGAGGGTCACAGACCCCCGGAGTCCACGTGCATGTGGTCTGTGTGGGTCAGGAGATGCGTGCGCCAGTTTTGGAACCGACATGTACCAGCTACGTTGTTCTTCTGTAAATCAAACCACATCTGTGGTTTTAGATTTCCTAATTACAGACTAAGGAGATGGAACCAGACAACTCAGAGCTAACACTGCAGAATTCCACGCAATGTAATCTCATTCCATGAAATGTGCCTTCTCTGTGAGAGAGTATCACAGGCTAGTCAAGACCTGGGCTCTGGAGACAGACTGCTTTGGTTTTCATCCTGGCACCACTCTTATGAGCTGTGTGACCTTAGAGAAATGACTTTGCCTCTCTGTGCCTCAGTTTCCTCTTCTGTAAAATGGATGGAGATAATGATTCTTCAAAGAGTTGTGAGGAAAAATAAGATAATGCATGTCAATTGCTTAGAGACTTCCTGGCACAGAGCATGATCTCAATAAATGTTTGTTATTGTTACCATTCCAATTTCATTTAAAAATGTACCTATAAGTAAAAACCAAAGGGAATAATAGTTATTTTTATACTAGGGGCTATGAAGAGTCATTTTTTTATTATTATGCTTTCGTATGTTCCAATTTTCAAAAAATAATAAACATGAATTACTGTTTTGGCAGAAAAGCTGCTGTTTTTTAAAATGCCTGCTAACCTCTTTCAGTTCTCAGAATTACTTGGCTATCATTACCTTACATGAAAAGCGGAATACCAGCAGCCTGGTGAAAAGCCATTCCTAATAATGTTTTCCTTCCGGCAGCAGAAACATTTCCACTGTCACCTCAATGTTCTGGAACAAAGGCTAAGGAAAAGAGGAAGCTCTGGACAGACGTCAAAAACAGACACAGTAATCTCTGCAACAATCCAAGGCTCCAGCACAATACCCAGTGAGCTCGGCTCCTCACCAGGGGGCCAGTCACAGCACAATCACTACAGTGCTGCTCGAACACGTTGTTCAGGCCTCCAAAGAGAGCAGTCCCCTGTGACATTCATATTTACCCCCTAAAGCTTCAGAGGGAAGTGAACAAAAAGGGAAGGAGAGTCAGTGTGGAGGCCCACCACCCAAACCCCACCCAAGAGAACTGGAAAGGGGAATGAAAGGCTCCTGGGGACAACTGGAGGGTGTGGATCAAGAAGGGAATCCCCTGAACTTTTGGGGGTCACTGAGTGGTCAGAGTGTGCAGGGGCATAGAGAGATCAGAAGGAGGGGACAATGAAAACCACCTGCTTAGTCCCAAGGCCAGATACAATGAAGCTTTGCTTATAGAACTGCTTGAGCTCAGTCACATAAGGAAAGGGTCAGGTGTTTCTACTGGCTGCCATTCCCAGGCACAGGTACGTCACGGGCCCATGTGGGGGCAGAGTTACAGACAGGCCCATGATGGAGCTCATGTCCAGTGTGCAGTCTCTCACAGGTCTTCCAGGCCTCGGTGTCTGAGCCAACACAGCTGATATTCTGGACTCATCTGAGCTAAAATCAAACTTCAGGCCTAGAGGTAAGACCGTTCATGTGCTGTGCCAGTCAGAATGTACTAGGCTTTGCTGCGGTTATAGTGTCAAAATTATCAGTGGTTTAAAAAAGAGTGTTTATTTCTTGCTCAGGCCAGCAAACCTGC